ACTACATCATGGAGTTGAAAACCATAAAAAGTTTCTTAACTGTCGGTTGAAATTGTACTATGTTTGAGCCGGACTGTGCAGCAAGGCGTCCCCGGTGAACGATTTCTCCAGACAGCCGAATGAGATGAGTATCGGCGTGGGCTGAAACCGTCAATGGCCCGGTGTTTATTTGACAAACAGTCGAATGGTTTGACAGCAACAAGTCACGTGGACCACAAAGAAAAAAAAACACGAAGTACACCACAGCGGTGGAACTTGTACTCTTGTTCGTTCACTACGCCACTGTATATTATATGTTGGTTCTCAGTTAGAGAATAGATGTGGGTAAAGTTTCATATTTAACTTACAGTTACTTGTTGGTAGTAGTTTCGGATAAATGATATCTATTTAGACTACCAATCCGTCGAACTATGCCTTCAAACATAACCCCTCAGTCAACCATGCACTCGAAAAGTCTCAATTTCGATAGAATCCATCAGTAATGTGTATCCATCTGAGATTTCAATTCTGGATTCCTAGCACGAGAGGCACATTGTTAATGATATTTGTTAGTTCTTTGCTTTGAACCGGAAAAAAATGAAAGTATTTTTTCACTCTACCGGAAATACGTCAAACAGACAGTAGAAGATCGATGCATAAGACTGGGTACAGACGCACTGCGCTTTTATGTGATCAGTGTAGTGTTCTATCCGTCGCTGTAAAGCATTCGTTCTGTTTTTTTACAGGCTGTCGACCCCCATAGCTTATTCGGCCTGTAGTCTGAATTTTATCCGTTATACGCCACTTCCGACTGGTTACCAGATTTAGGAACTCAGTTCAGTTTAGTTCAGTTTTTACAACCATTAATCATACACTTTCATGCGCCGGTTTTGGTTGCTGTCCATTGGGATGAACGAGCAGAATGAGGATTGAAATTTTGAGAACAAATTCAATCGAGTGGTAGCGAATTCGTATACACTGAAGTTGCAAGAACTATGAGTAGATGCATGAGCGCCATTGTTTGCGACACCCAGCCATATCACTCAGTGTCCTTAACCATTGGTGACCATGATCTCGGGGTCCTCAACCAAAGAGCCTAACGAGGCCTATGTGACTTAGTCTCCTGATTGGGGTTCTCCTAACCTCATGCCAGGTTTTAGTTTTACCTTCCTTGATCTTTTTCAAATCGCTACCTGCCTCGGCAAACATCGCTCGCCGTGGCAACCTATCTGGTGACATGCGATTTTGGAACTATGCATTAGGTTAAGAGAACTGTATAAACATTTGTTTAATTTCTTAACAATTTTGCACCCTTTGTTCCACTTTCCTCCTTTTGTACTTCATTGCATGTATTTAGTTGCATAAAAAAGGTCTGTTCTGGCTACCATTTATGTTTTGCCTCATAAATCGTCAGACCGGTGCTTAGGGTACAAGGCTAATTATCGTGTCTTTTCCTTGTCGTCCAAACAGAAAGACTACCAGAAATGTAATGGTCGATTACTTATTTAAGGGTTTTTGCTGCATGGCCTCAGGTACAAACTTTTTTTTACTTTTCGGGATGACTCATCAACGATTTAAGGAAGTAATGGTGGCTGTGAAATTGCTTCCGACCAGAATGAGTGAGCCGACGATGCTATGATTCGAACACACGGCCCCAGTAACAGGGTGTCGGTGACAGCGGCTTAGGCCGTTGAATCGACATTCCTTTATGGACCAGGCGACAATCGAACGTTTACGCAAATCCCTCCGTTCCTATTGGTTTCTTTCTGTTTCGATAGCTGCACACATCAGTAGCTATACTAGCAGACGTTTCTTGTGACTTCCCGATTTCTGATAACCTAGTGTGTTTTTGTGTGAACGCATTCATTCTAGTCCAATGCTCTTCGTGAGTACTGGCACTTAGCATTTCTTTGTTAGGTAGTATTTTCACCAAAACCCCGAGTTCTCAATGATTTGTTGATTGTACGGCAACCGAGCTGAAACTTTATCCACATGCACATAGTGGAAACTATCATTTTCTCAAGACTGTTTTATCGTAGCTTGACTTAACTATAATTTGATCTATCAAAATAACCGACTTGAATAAAAGGTCTATGTATGTATATTTCACATACGTCTGAGGCTAGACTGTGTCAAACTAATAGAAAGAAAAAAGTTCCATGATTGGTATATGAGCGGAATAGTTTTAGGTTGCCCAAGTCAAGGCAGTTGAATGTTCTTGGGGAATACACAACTGGAGCTTTTGACTAGTCCGGACCGGCAAGACAACAGGGCGATGTGTGAAAACCGTAATGTCTGGGTATCTGTTGAGATACTTGGTGTTGTATACCGAAGGGATGAAGGCGACAAATCCCCTTTACCAGTCCATGATCATCATATATCATCGTACAGTGAGGCAAGCTTCACTGATCACTGCCAAACTCACAATGCATATATCCATTGGGGTTTAACGGACGGGTACTGCTGGGGTGTCCAACCACTAAGCAGGAGAATGATAAGGGTTCTCATCCAAAGCCTTTAGTTCTAACAAGAATCTAACCGCAAGGCAGTGGGTGAAGTGAAGTGGTGGAGGCCCATTTACCTGGATCAATTACTCCGCCACTTTTTACCAACTGAGACACAAATTCTAGTCGAACCCCCAACCTGGAGGACCAGGAGACTAAACTTCGTCTGACCTCTACCCATTGACCTTCCGTGATAAGATGTCCTGGTTTGACAAAAGCCATCCTTTGTAGCTCGTTGGGTCAGAGAAGTGCACAAGCCATCAAACCACATCTCGTCATGGTGGTCCATATTTCGCTTTCCTTCGTTTTTACTAGTTAACTTCAGAAATGGACAAAGTCAGTTTTATTAGGAGAAATACTTAAAATCGTTTGCTCTCTTTGTCCCGTAGGGTTTAGCACAAAGGGATCAATTTACAGCTCATAGAATAATGAGGAATGTCATAAATTAGGCTTGTTTCGTGCTACGGATTGTCAAAGTTTAAGACTTGTAAAAGTTTCATCCAGTTTGCGCTTGAAAGAATCAGTTATGGGTGCAGAAAAAACTTGACGTGGTCAGAGAATTCCAAATACTGCCCACCCTGAGGGCAAATGAATGAGACCGGCATTCGAGTCGACATTTTTGGAGCACTAATTTGAATGAGTGACCTCTGAAGTGAGTGTTGGGCGACAAAGCGAGTATAGAACGACATGGGTGCTCAGGGTTATACATTAATTCATACACCAAAGTCAAGTCCCCTCGAATTCGGCGATACTGCGATACAGCCCCAGTGATTCCAGTTTTTCCACATAAGTCTTGGAAACCAGTCCATTTGGTGGCCATTCTTCGTGGACGTTCCAGAATCTTACGATCACGTTCCAGCCCTGGATTCCCCTCATGAATGGCATACAAATCCATTCCCTAAAATGCAGAACTTACTCAGTGAGGTTGATTCCTGTAAATTGTCAATTTTTATGCTCATCTGTGAGCCTTTACGCGATTGCTTGGCGCCATGACGAATCTGGTGGGGCAGCCGGACGAGCAATGCTGAGGTTGGGCGTAGAGTTTTACGTATCCGCGGTCGCCAACTGGAGAAAGTGGTCGACCTCCATAGATTAAGTTGTTTGGGGCATGTGTTACGCATATCACCAGATAGTTTNAGATGTTTGCCGAGGCAGTCAGTAGGCGGAATAAAACCAAGGGTGTTCAAGCTAAGACCTGGCATGAGGGTATGAAAACCCCAAGCAAGGGACTGGGTCACATAGGTCTCGTTAGGCTCCCTGGCTTGGGACTTCAGGATGATCGTGACCGATGGTTAAATACACTGAATGATATGGCATTTGTATATCTCCTCAATTTATTTGCAACTTTAGTCCACTTTAGTTCATTTCCTATTCCACTATATTTTCTACTTTATCGTCTTCCCCTAGTGTTCATCCAAATGAGCAACTATAAGACAGCAACCAAAATCGGCGCACGAAAGTGCTTGAATAATGGTTGTTCAAACTGAAACTGCACAGCGACTACTTGTGCTGATGTAACTGATCTATGCATATGTTCTGAGTCAGTAGATCGCTATTTGAAAACATTCGTTTCCGAAATGGCTGTCAGCTGAAAGTTCTCACAAAAATACTCTGCAATGAACCCCTAACACTTACTGCTAGACTAAAAAGACTGAATATAACTCAAAATTGTGATAACAATCTGCACGTAGGGTTGTCCCACTTGTTATTCTAGTAAAACGTAGCGGTACCGTCGAATAATAATAATACTTTACAGAAGCACATCAAATTATTCCGATAACTTTAATGCAATTAATTGCATTCTCGGCAGCTCACATTTTACTTAACAGAAACGAACAATCGATGCTATGAAGACAAGGAAAGGCACTACAGTTTTCGGAACTATTCCTTGACGTAATCATATCCTAACGCATTGTATTGTCTATGCTTTGGACAAATAGACTTGTAAATTTCCCTATTCAATCGCTGACAGTTCATTGTGTTTGCTATTTGTTTTGACTTCCTATGTTGATTGTCGTTGGGCTTATTTCTCTCATCCAGATGCGATATATCCGCATATTCAATCGATTCTTGACCATACTTCTGACGGTTGTTCCTCGAGGCACATCGGAACACTTGAAACCACTTGTTCATTCACTCCCAATGCATGTTTGTGACATCATCACAATAGACAGTCACCCACATATATCGTCATTCGTTTTTATGTTCACCTTACGTTTTTCGCACACCCACACACATCTGAGTACAGCATTGATGTGGTAGTTCTGCTGTATCATCCTTACCATCTGCCACACGTCAGTTCCGTCCCTTCATTGAACTGAATAACTCATATGGTGGATGCGGTCGTTTATCTGATCGGCTACGTGTCAAGTGGTACTCGATGTACGTGAATCGATAAGCTTGGAGAAACGTTTGAAAGCGAAGCATAAATGACATGATCAGAAATGTTTTTACTCTTCTAAACCGTACGAAAATTGCTTTAGAGACAAATACGTTTGGTTTTACTTCATCCTACCTATGTTCTGCTTGGATTGTAGTCACGTGGTTCGAGAATCCGCGGAGGTCATGAATAGTCTGTCCGCATTACGAAAGGACTATGAACTCAAAGTGGATAAAAATGTGGTCGCACCGCTCACTCGGTTGGTGGACGACACGCGGGCGGATATTGATAAAGAACGACGTGCATTTAAGAAAGCAGTATCGGATGCGCGTGAAGCTCGCGATCAATTGGAACGAGCTACGGCACAGTTGAATCAGCTGACAGGACATAACAACAACAACACTAACAACGGATCCACGATCAATATGAACGGTTCTTTCTCTTCGCTGGACACTTGCACAAATAATTCATCGGCTAATTCCGATGCTGTGTCTGCTGCCATAGCTCGATGCAATCAAGCTCAGAGTGCACTGGACGAGAAGGAGCGAGATTTGATGGCATCCAAAGTACGATTTGATAGTTTCATAACCGTCCTGTTTGCGTTTGTAAAGCATAATTTAAAAACGAGTTTTAGCTGCGCGATTGTCAGCTTGATAAGACCGTATGCAAATAATATCTTGCAAATGTATGCTTGAGAGTGAGTGTTCAGTAAAAAGACTTCACTGATCTGACTTTATCTCGAAATACGCTCTCCTAGTAACTTGTATGCAAAGCATCTGTTTTAAAAGATTGACTCACTACCTTTTCGCAACATGGATTCTTTTTTCATTTTCATTTCACTTCTTTTTATTGAGTACATATTGATACAATTTTCAGGAAGGGGTAAGCGGCCAACCAGAGGGCTACCATTCAACACACACAAATGGGGAAAGTCAGGCGGTGGT